TTTTTCAGAAAGAATCTATTTATCAATCTATCATTGTGTGCCGTGATTTGTCTCATCTAAGTTGCAATAATTTTTTCAAGGGGAAGACCGCTGGATGTGCACACTGATGATACAAAATGGCTGGCGATTGACATATTGTGCTGCTGCAGAGAACAGTACTTATTGCCCAGGGAGTTTTGATGAGTTCTATAAACAACGAAAACGATGGGCGCCATCTACACTAGCCAACCTCGTTCTACTTATTACCGAATGGAAGCAGACATTGAATAACAACGAGCATATTTCTTTATTATTCATTGTTTATCAAGCGTTCCTTGTCTTCTCCACAGTAATTGGGTAAGTTATGCCCATTTGTAAACTTTATCAGAAACGTTAAATATTGGTGTAAGTAACTCTAAATTCAAGATTCTACTTATTTTTATCGAAGTATTATTCATCAATCCATTTCTGTGTCATTGAGATTTTTTTTATCTCCTTGCCATTGCCATGAGCCTGCCGACAAAAACACCTTATAAAGTGGAAACAGAATTTCAATCCGGTTTTAAAAGTTATGAAAAAACGAAGAATAGAAGTCATGAATTCTAATTTCTTCTAAGCGAGCAAACCTGCAAACGCAAAGAAAAGTGGTAAGCCATTTAATGAAAAAAAACCATGGATCTAGGGAATGGTATTTAGAGTGCTTTTTTTCACAGAATGAAAAAAAGTTGAACTAGATTTCACTTTTCTATTAGTATTTGAAAAATAATTTTGCATTGAGGAGCACGATTTCATCTATTCTTACCTTACTTTTTTTTTTCTTGACGACAACTCAGTAAAGTCCATAATTATAACATAATTCCCTTTATTTCAGAGGTTCCACGGTCATTTTGGTCATAGTGGGTGGAATGGTACTTGCAGGTGTTCCAGTCAACCACATAACAACATCGGTGCTCCTTAGCCTTGTTGTTGCTGTTTACGTCTTAATATGCCTTTACACTCCCCCAAAGTGGCAGCTTAAAGTGTCAAAGATACTGACATTTTTTTTCTCAGTAATCATGTGCACTGTGGCGGTCGGATTGGCTGTCCAAATTTCCAACGATTTAAAGGAAAGGAAAGTTGAGCCAACTGTGGCAACGACGATGCAGATAGAAACGACATCGTTAACAACGACAACAAAACCTTTAGAACACCATCTTCCGGCGGGGGTGAGCAGTCTGTACCTAGGTGGACTGATAACAATCTTTGTAGTCTCTGCTCTCTTGCATCCAAGAGAAGTTACCTGCTTGTTTCATGGAATTTGGTACTTCCTCTGCCTTCCATCTGGCTATCTTCTGCTGACAGTTTACGCTATCTGCAATCTAACTGATAGTTCTTGGGGTATGTTGTCTTTTTCTTTTGATCATCACCTGAATTGTTAATAGGCGTACTTTTCTAGAAGACTTTCGTGCATATGAAAGCGGGAAATTACCCTTGTGAACCAGTGAAGTTCATGCATGTTTCAGGCTTTTAACGAATTAACAAAGTCTCTTATGAAGGCTGTTTTCTGAAACAGTCAGGATCGAATTCCTAAGCCCAAACGTACTTATCTGCAATTAAGCTTTATAGACTCGTGGTTGCTGTGCACTATATTGCAAGGGCTTGGGAGAGGCCAGGCTTAACAATGGAAACAAGATAAGATATAAGATAGGTGCCCTTTAACGAACCGTTTTCTCTGAGTACACAATCTCGATGCTTCCCCTTTAGTGAGAAATGATTGATACACTGGTAAAAAACCAAAAAAAAGGTTCCCACATCTACTTGACGCCAATTTGCTGCGCTTCATAGCGAGAATTTTGTTAGTTTTAAATTATAGCAATTTCCAAATAAGCTCGAGCATTTTGTACCCCTTCCACTTCATCGAACCTCCACAAAACTAAATTAGTTGAGAGGTGGAGATCTGTTTGAGAATGTTTATCTATTCACTCGTTTTTCATCTCGACCAAGCTTTGTTAAGTGTTATATTTGTTTGGTTAGGAACAAGAGAAGAAACCTCAGGAAAGAAAAGCAGCCAAAATTCATTATGGGAGTATTACTTATGTTGTCATTGGACCAGATCAGATGGGGGTGGAGATGAGAGGAAGAAACTCTCAGATTCCAAGGTAAGCCGTGCGAACTAACTTTACAATGACATAAACACAAAAGAAACACGTAAGGGAGGACTTTGATCGACTATGGGCAATTGCAACTTTTTATGTGGATAATTGAAAGAACACTTTATTCGTGTTATCAGGCTTCTTCCTTCTATTTGTTATTTGGCTTATTTAACATTACATGGCAGATTTTATAAAGCAAAGAAAGGACACTTGAAATATAAAGGAAGTCGCAAAACTTCCATGCGTGTTCTATTTTAAACCATCGAATAAGCTATACATCGTCATCGTGAAAATAATAAATGGTGACGATTCGGGATGAATTTTTAGGAACCAGGACCACCAGGTCTTAACACGAACACAGGGTCGGCAGAACAAGAAAACAATGAGGGAAATGCGAAAACCACGTCTGTGGAAGAATTACTAAGCAGTGAGGCCAAAGGTGAACTCGACGTAACCCACTCAACAGGTAAAACAAGATATTCTTTTCGTCTTTCGAATAAATAGATTAAATAAAACTTCTGTCGTCAAGCTTAAAAATGTTACCTCAAAGGAAATCGATGCAAGGTTAGATAATCACAGCCTTCTTTGTGATAACCAAAATTTTGGTTTAAAAGGTCAGTGCTAAAGTATTCTGTATTGAGGCTGACGGCAAAAATAATCGACAAACTGAAAGGCCAAGTCATTGCAGGATAGTATGAACTATAATTACACTTTTTTGTTTACCAAAAGTCAAAAGTGAACTATAATGACATGTAACCTTGATCGTTTTGTTAAAGCTGAACAGTTTTATAGTGATCTCTAGAAGATGAAAAAAAAAAAAAGATTTATAGTTTCAGGAACGATACAGGCTAACAACAGGGGTGGCGGTTCTTATCAATAATATCGTAAATTTTGTTACAAGCCAACCTTTCCTCATAGTTAAAATTATATCACTATTTCTTACACCATCAACTTCAATAATTAACAAAAATAAATTCTTTGAACTCTTGAAGCGATGAACCTTTCAAAGTCGAATGACGAACACATACCCAGTGAGCAGTTGGGAGATTTCCTAGGTGAAATAAAACTTGAGGTACAAAATCTTAAATTAGTTGAAATAATGCTAAATTAATTATATATCTTCATACAATACACATTACCTTACGGACAATGAACCTTACACAAATCATGCAGATATATGATAATATTTAATAACGTGAACTGAAAAGGACTCCAAAATTCGCAAGAATGATACGTATAAAGGCGAGTACAAGTCAAAACTGACTGAACATAGGAGCAAACTCTACAATCAGAGCTTGGCGGGAATTGTAAAACTTACAGCTTAAACGATTAAGATGATCTTTCCGATTCGTTACCCTTATGTTGAAGCAAGAAAAAATAGGGGAACAGAAAGGGAAATTTGAGCGCTGGTTCTGATGAGTCATTTCTCTCAAACTATTTTTAACTAAGGGGTGGAAAGGTCGTAGTTTTTCTTCTTGTTTCAAATTTTGTGGACTGTCTCTAGACAAATACCGTGATTGGCGTGTTATCGGCGTGGTATCGTCTTTTCAAATTTTTTTAAATTCAATTTTTTTAGTTGATTATCATTTTGATTTTAGTATCTGATTGATGGGTTTTTCTCTTCTTAGAAATATTACCAACGTTTCTTTGACAATGGATATGAATTTATAGACGACTTGGTCGGAATAAAGGAGGAAGTAAGTTTGACTTTGGTATAGTTGAGCGGAAGAGGCACTTGTAATGTAAAAAGATACACACATTCCAACGTATGTATCAATTACTTATTTGGAAAAGGTTTTAAGAAACTATAAAATCATGCAGACTAGCATTAAAAAGGGTTGAATTTTTTCTTTTTTCAAAAGATTATTTGAATTTTTTCTTTTTTCAAAAGATTATCCAAATGATATTCATACATATACTAAAGCAGTGGATATCGTATGAAGGAGCGCTTTCACTGGCCACTCAAACTCCGAATATCCTTCTCTTTTCACATCCGAACAACCCGTGGCATTTGTACCCCAAAATATTGTAATCGCTGCAGGAATAAATGAATTAAAATCATTTGTTTGTGCTAATAAAAAAAAAAATCCATACATTTATCTTTGATCTGCTAGGATCTTGAGCAGATCGGAATCAATGAAGAGGATCATTCAAGGCTCATGGAGTATATCAAGAGGATTCCTCAAGATGATTCAAAGCAAGAAATACCAGTAAGTTTACTAAACGAATCATAATTCAGGAAGCCAAGATGTCTTGCCAGAATCGTGGTCGACGTTTTGGCCTCTTCGAAGGCAGTTTGCAAACGGTTGGATTACCTTTGAAACCCATGAGGTGGTCATCATCACCAGTTAACCCAATGACTTCTTTGGAGTGCAAAAACGAGCCATGGTGAAAAGCTGAAATTTCACAGCTGTCATTATGCTACGGACTGTTTATTGAGAAAACCATTCTTATTGTATTGGAAAACCAAGGATTTCATTAACGCAATATCTTACAGTTTAAACAATAGCGTTTTAAAAACAATGCTTTTTTTAAGATTCCAGAATTCACATATATCTGAAAATCTGCTTTTGCATTCTTGTTCCAACTGCCAATAAGGGAAGAAACAAAATCGATAAAGATACTAACTACAACGAATGCCCAATGGTGAATGCTGATGTTCCTTGATTAACCTTTGTTATCAGGAAAACATTAAAGGCTGGTTGATAAAGCACCATCTCGAAGATTATCATTCCAAATTCGGTGAGAAATTTAAGCATCTATGGCAACTTCAAAAGTTGAAAAACGAGCCCAAAAAGGATTTCAAGGAATCCGCAAGGAAAAATTTTGGAATCGAAAAACCGGGCCATTTTAAAAGGCTGGTTAAGGCTGTTTGCAGTTTACAGGTGAAAGGTAAGCAAAGTTTAAATCATTGCAACGTAGTACTCTAATATTCTGCATGATGCGGTTGTTTGCCAGGACCTTTTCATTATCCTTGTTTGACGTAGCGATGGTATTAGAGTTGCACTTGTGATGATTCATAGGAAAATCTATGCGTGCTTCGTAAGCATTGTACTTATTAACTGATTAAATAATTAGTTCAACAACCTACCACCACCCATTTGGGAAAGGTATTGTTATTTCGGAGATTTCTTTGTCTGAAATGTTTGCAAGCCGACCAGCAGCGGTCAATCTAAGGTTGCATTCCTTTGAAATGATCCAGCTCAGGTTTCTTTATCAGAGAACACTCGGATCATGATGCACAGAAAAACGTTGTTCGATTGCGTAGTATCAATAAACATATCAATAATCAGCGTAAACTTTTAGCGTGCGTGAGAGCGGAGTGCAAAGTTTCAGAACGGAAATATCATGGCCACTGAGTGTAGCGCAGTTGTTTTTCGTTAATAGAAAAAATTATCCATGATTGAACAACAGTTAAAGCGAGCAGTCCCAAGAAGGCTGCAGCAACTGAGCGGATAGAACCAGCCGTTTCTGAAAAAGACCACAAATTACTGTTCGAGGAGAAATTACGAACGAGAGAGAATTGCCAGACTCATAAAGTATGAATGTTTGGAGGGACAACTTCCCTAACATTCCACCGTTCTCATTCGGCGTCCGCATGCAGCCTTGCCTCAGCTGTACTGATGTCATCATTTTTTACTCTTTTTTTAATTATCAATATTTCTTCTTGCTGATTCGTAGCGAGGGCTAACTGTAATTTGCGCAATGAAACAAAAAGAATCGTCGTTTGCGAGCTGAATTCAAAGTCTGTAATTTACGAGAAACCTTTGCTTATTTTAATTACCACGACTGTTTCATTTAGTTACCGACTCGAGCCTTAATTTCGACACTAGATCTTAGACTCGTGAGAACTTGGAAACGGCTATTACACCCAGTTTTGATCATCACATATGGCAAGGTTTTGGTAATTTGGTGTGTACAAACCACTTCTTCACCTTTTCTGATAAATTTCCATCAACATAATACTGGTAGAAACAGGGCTAAGAAGTTTGTGGCAACAACTGTAACGTCCGAATTTATTTCGACGCCGTTTTTTTCTTTTAGTCTAAGCTGCCTCCCCACGTTACGTTATGGTTCAATCAATATTTTGCTTACTTCGTCCGCTCTCGTCCAAGTAGACTGATTTGTAATAACCCAGTATTCTTGTTTCATTTTCAGGACACGTACAGATGACAATCCTCAGCACGGAGCATACACTGAATAGTGTTCTGCCTGTCAAGCGTGATAGCAAGGACTATCCTGAAGACGAAATAACCTTCTGGAAAGAATTACTTGAAGAAGGATTTCTTTCTCCGCATAACACAGCTTTAGCGTTCACGTCTTCTCCCGAAGAAAACCTCCGGAAGCTTAGAACAACAGCGCTGTGGGTATTCAGTGTCAGCAACATGTTTTGGATGGTACTTATACTGACGCTGGTAGAAAAGAGAGACCTCAAGATTTTAGGGCTCGATGTCATCGCACTTAGCTTCCTAATCACCTATGGGGGGATAATCTTTGCCCAGTTTTTAGCCCTTTTGTGCCATCGTGTGAAAACAATAATGCATATTTTGGCACGCACGCCATGGATTTTGCCTATAAAGAACGAGACAGAAAAAAATGAAAGAATGAATGAAAAAAGCGTTTTGCAAAGCAGAAAACATAGGAAATTGCATCCTTTTTCCTATGCTTAAGTTCTTGTAGTGTTGGTCAGTTATTCAACTCGTCCAATTTCTTTTAATCATTATTATTTCATTCTCTTAGGACCCTGTTAACATCTGTCTAAATTGTTGTCAGTTTAGAGACATAGATTTCCTTTAATTTGGTTTAATTCTAGATTGTTGAGGAAAATGTCGAAAAGTTTTTAATTTACTTTCAAATTCAAAAACGCGTGAACTCTTTGATTTGATTCTGACAGGTGAATACTGTATCGACCAATCATGATACAGATCAGGAAACGCCAAAACAAATCAAAACCATTACTTCAGTATTTACTGCTGTTGTTTGCGGTTTTGATCTGTAACGCATTATTGGCTATTTCCTCGTAACTTAGCATCATTCAGAGATAATTTTTGAGTTCAAAGACTTACTGTAAGTCTCTGAGTTTTTTCTTGATATCTAATCACTGCAAAAAGTGAACACGAACATAGAGTTTTTGTTAGTAGTGTTGATATTAGTATAAGCACCCACAATGTAATAAGTGTGATTCGTTTTCCCAGTCATCCTATTTTGCTATTTTCTCTGTCAGTGTATTGATTATCTGAACAACAGCAAAGAAAATTATCTTTGTGCCAGAATTTCGTAATTAAAAAATAGTTCTAGAAAGATTAATGACCGATGATTGGCCAAAATCCTGACTTTGAAAATAATTTATCGGCCGTGAACTTGGCTGTGCTAATGTCGTATGCCACCTCATCTTTTGAACCGACTTCTCGAGTCTTGCATATTTTCCAGCAAGGGATTTTTTCCGTTTAAGATGTAGCAAGAGTAGTTATCTACTTTTTTCGTATCGCTGATAAAAATATGAAATTCAACGTAGAAACTGCGGAACTTTTGCTAAGGTCAGCGAAGTGTAAGTGCTTCGCTTACCAGTTATTATTCAACTAGCCGTATACATTCGTTGTTTGATCATTAATTAGTGTCATACTGTAACCGTCATTTATCCTGGTCTTTTCTTTAGTTGTCTTCAATACCTGCGTCGTTTTGAATGTGATCAATCTGAAAAGCGCAATTCTTTAGTAATCAATCGTTCTCACTCAGTTGGAATGTGTTAGATAATCCATAACATTAATTATCTAATCCTTTAGCGTTGTAGTTCAGGCTTAAATAGGACTACATCGTAAAGCTTTTGTTGAAAACACCAGGGACACATTAAGGCTACATCTGGCTACATATTGGTTACATGACTGTATTAAAAATAACGTTGAAGCCAAGTCTTTGTGGACCATACTGTCTCAAAGATATTCAACAGCCCTAATAGATTCTGACCTTCGCGCAAACAGCGAGTGGCTGTTCCTCCAGCAAGAGCCTTTGCAAAGAGTACATTACTGAGTTTTTCCTCTGTCCTCTCATTTATATGAGAAGGCAAAACTTGTTTTCACAAAGAGCATCTAATCCTAAAAATCCGTACAAAGATGTTATTTTTCTTCTTCCAGCGAAATGACTGTCAATCGTATAGTCCAATTGTTCGGTTGAGATTAGTCCTAACAATTTTTTTCTTTCTTTCGGATGTTGCTAGCGCCCATTGGTTCACGCTTTTTCTATTCGAGGCAAGAAAATCTCATGAATTTTTATTTCCATCGCCAGAACTTGTATGATGTTTGCCAGAAGTTAAAGAGTGTCGAAAAATTGAGTTATAAATAGTTGAAAGTGATGATCTATAGCTATTCAGTGATACTCATTGTTCTCTGGAAATTTACTCCCCGTGATTTTACATGTCTTTCCCTGGTACAGCGCAAATTAGTATTCTCAGCTTCAGAACCAACTCGTTTCCACCCCAAG